GGCTAGTTAAACCACTCATAAACTACCCGCCGGACCGGGAACCGTTCCCATAAAACGCACGTTTTTAAAAAAAATGGTGATTTTACCACAGTGCCGTGCTGATTTGATGATTGGAAATCCTGGAAAAACTTGGGGCGCGTTTTTTGGCTTTTTAGCGTCATCGCAGTAAACGATCCCAGAGTAAACGATCACGTAGCAACATTTAACGTAGTATACGATCCCAGAGATCTCAGCAGCGTACAAACATGTAACGTAGTAAACAATCCCAGTGATCTCAGCAGAGTAGAAATATTTCATGTACGAAGTACAAGGAACGTAAACATGCCCCCCCACCCCACTTGCTTCCTTAGGAAGCAGCGCAGTTCCATCGCCAATGCCATCGATTCGGTGAAGCCAGGGATCCCAGGGATGCACTGGGGCATTTAACGGTGGAGCCCCATGGCCTGAGTTGGCTTGCAAATCGTTGGTTTATACCCGGCCTGGTAAACATACAAAAAGCTATTGAAAATGGCCATAGAAATAGTGGATTTTCCCATTGAAAATGGTGATTTTCCATAGTAAATTAACTTGTTGACCCTGGTAGTCATCGGGGTTGGAAGATGAATGTTTCCTCTAACAATTGGTAATTTTCAGGGTCAACAAGTTAATTTACTGGAGGGGAACCATTTTATAAGAATAGTTTATGATACTTACAACTATATTTAGATATTTTAGATGGGGTTACAAACCAACGATCATAACTCGGGGGAACCATCCTGTATGAGGATAGTAATAAAGACGGCTTAATGGTTGTTGATGGTTGTTGATATCATGAACAAGTGATCCAGGTATAAATGGATAAACAAAACTCATCATTGAGCATATTGAGGCATATTCATAATGTGGTTTATCCCATTTACCCTTTGGTGTCATGAAATATGTTGGAAACCCACCAGAAATGGATCGATGATTTTCCCTCTAAATGCCCATTGAAAAAGGGACTTTCCCAGCTAGCCATGTTTGATTACTGGAGGGTAGGTAATATCGCTGAATGTTTTTTTTGACCATTTGAGATTGGAAAGCTATTTACACGTCACCCATTCTCTTTGAGTTATATTGATGAAAGGACTTCATGGTTATCCTCTGGTAATTTAACATAGCGAACTGGAAAATCACCTTTTTATAGCTGGGTAAATCAACTTTTTAAAAAAATGACCATGTTCAATAGCTTTTTGTATGTTTACCAGGCCGGGTATCTCTACAAGGCAGCTTGGATATGGGTATCCATGGTATCCGGATTGCGTTGTACAGATCTACGGATTTACCAGCGATTTACCGATGCTCAAATGACGGTTGTACCATGCTTTCCCATGACGGATCCATGGTGCTGGTATATATCCCTAAGGATCCATGTATGGAATATTTACCTACATTGGGATTATGTTAAATTACTTTAGGGGTCAATGTAGGTAAATATTCCATACATGGATCCTCTGGGTATGCAAACATGACTGGGGTATGATGGGATCCATGGAGCACCATATAATATGGCAGCACCATGGATCCTATGGCTTTGGAATGCTTTGAATATGTTGTGATGAAAATAAAACAAGGCTTAACCATGGTTCCAACATTTGAGAAGCTATTTTTTCAATGGCCATTTCAGGAACCGATTTATTGGAGGTACCGATTCCATATATGTTTGGCCTATTTTTCAGGCCTAAATTTCAGGCCTAAATTTCAGGGGATATACCTCCAAAATATGGCCAAACATATGGTACTAACGTACCTCCATTTTAGGATCCTGAAATTCACATTGATTTTTTGTATATATTTATCACTTTATCTTCATGTCTGGACCGAGTCTCGGTGACCGAGTCGTATTGAAAAAGGTGAAACATCTACGGCTCTTCCGTCGATGTTTGGACACAGCCTGGAGTTGGAGTTGTCGTTAAACATCCACATATTGCTAGGACTGTTGGGTTGTAAACGCAGAGCCAATCACAGCTAAGCTACTATTTGCAAATCATTCAAGGGCCCCCTTGCGCAAAATGTTGGTCTATATCCCCCATGAACTATAGATAATATATGATAATATGATATATCTACTGTCATAAGATCCCAGTTTTTTGTTGCTAATTTTTACCAACTTTTTAAGAATTTCCAACATCTCCCAACCAGCACCACGAAAAAGTTCCAACGCAGGTCTCTTGGTTTGGCGGTCCACCGGAACGGGGTGGCAAGGCAGGACGAGCAGAGAAAGAGTGGGAAGGCTTGATGAAATTTAACCTCTGGTAATTTGTTACATAACTATGGAAAGATCCACCATTTTCATGGGACAATTCACTATTTCTATGGTGATTTTCCAGTTAGTTATGTAACAAATTACCAGAGAGTAACCTATTTTGCAGGTGAATCATAACCCAAATTTTCAAAGGGGGTTGAATTGGTTGAATGATGTTGAATTTCTCAGTTTTGCAACCAAAAAAAAGCACCCTGGAATGATGGTTGGTTAAGGTTACGTGGTAACTATCCGTAACTATCCCCAAATGCTCGAACTTTTCAGGTGGGTGAAATATTCAATATGTTCGAAATTACCCTCGGTTAAACAAACATAGACCCTGAAAATCACCAATGTTTAATGGAAACTAATCTTCCAACCCCTATTTGCCAGGTATATCTCCACATATCTCCATTATACCCATTGAAATGATAGGGAAGCCAAACCATGGGATCCATGGGACTCCCATTCCCATTTCAGCTTCCCCATACTATGGCGGTTTCGGAGTCCCATCATTGCCAACATGGGCCACAACATCCCAAATGTCCTGCCATACACATCCCAAATATTCCCAAATCATATCCCCATTGTATATTCTTATACCCCTATAATATGGTGAAATCAATCCTGCATTATCCATAGATTATATTATCATGTAAGATTTAAGTATCTCATTAATATTCAATTATATGCACATTAAATCGCCATTTTATACCCATTATAACAAGCCCCAAAAACATAGAAAAGTAAACTATCACTATTTAAAAATTAGTAGGATTTTACCTTTCTGTTGTTTTTTGGGGTTGCTATGTATCCCCCGGCTGTACCCTATAGAATGAAGTTTGTTCAATGTGATATCTCTACAAGTTCCGATGTTTTTTTGTCATATCTCTATATTTCACCCCATCAAATCCCATTAGAATTCCATTAAAGTTCCCTAAAAATTACGAAACAAACCATTAGAATCCCATGAAAATCACATGGCCATACCATTAAAATCCACTTCCGGAAAATCCCAAATCCGAATCCCACCCCATAAAATCCTATAAACATCCCATAACAAAAAACAACAAAAAAACATTAGAATCCCTTAAAATCACAAATCAACATCCCATTAAAATCCCACTAAAATCACCCAAGAGTCCCATCAAACATATCCTGAAGAATCCGTTCGAAAATCACCCATCCGTTCAAGGGCGGCGGCGTCCTACGGCCATCGTTGAAAGGAACCAAGGCAATGAAACAGGCCCAACTTGGGAAGGACAAGTGCGTAGAAAAACCATAGGATTTCATGGTGATTTCATGGTGTTAACTATGAAAAATGATGGGAAAATGGTGGTTTAACAGTCAGTCAGAAACGGTGATTTCATGGTGATTTAACCATGAAAAATGATGATCGAATCACGAAAAAGTATGAAAAAGTGTGATTTCATGGAAAGTAGCCAGGCAAGATGCTGTTTTAATGGCGATTTTTAACCAAGAAAGATTGGGATTTCATGGGGTTTAGTTGAGTTGACGCACAACTTGGTTCACTTGGGCACTGCAGGGCCTCACCTGGGTGGATAGATAGCACCTTCACCAGAAAAAAAAATGAAACCTGGAATTCTGGTGGAAACACCATCTACAATGTGGGGCCCCCTAGTTATAAGTTGGTTTATAAGCCCCAATAACTATAGTTATAAGTACCATAAACCATAGTTATTGGAGTTATAAACCATCTTAGCTATCTGGGTAAATTATAACTGGGTAAATTATAACGACCTCACTGTTCTCCCTCACTGGAAATCATGGTTAGTAAGACGAATCATCCCCAAAATGGCCGAACTATTCAGGTTAGTGAAATATGATAATTTACCCAGGAATCTATGATGAACATATATGAACATATCATGCTCAATGTGTTTGTTGAGTGGGATTAATTTTGACCGGCTTAGCCAAAGTGCACAAAGGTAACTACTTGCGGGTTGGTTTTGGGTACAAAGATCTGCATGGAGAAATGGTGAGTATGCAAACCAACCATTGAATAGGAATATAGTGGATATATATATATGTATATATATATGTATATATACGGATATATATATATATATACGGATATATAATATATATACATATTACTGGTTGGTGGTTTGGAACATTTTTTATTTTTCCATAATTTGGGAATGTCATCATCCCAACTGACGAACTCATATTTTTCAGAGGGGTAGGTATACCACGAACCAGATAATGTAGTAGGATATCTGGCTAGTTTAAGGATATTAACCATCAACATGGGATTTCACCATGAATAGCACGGATTTAGCGAATGAGTAATGGAAATGGGTCCGGAAATAGTTGATTTACCACCCATTTAGTGAGAACCATTGTGATTCACCCCGTAGGTGATCCAGGTGCAGGGCTTTTGCCGCCAATTTATAGGGATCCTTTCATGATCTAACATGAAAATGGAGTTGTGCAGAAATTATGGGTTTATCTGGTTGGTGGTTTCAAACATGGCTTTTATGTTCCATTTCATATATGGGATGTCATCCTTCCCATTGACTAATATTTTTCAGAGGGCTTAAAACCACCAACCAGTTATTGATTTACCACCAGATTATGGCAACTTGGGAGAAGTTGTGATCATCCATGATCGTCTTGGGGCACCTTGTCAGACAAGCCTGCAGAGTTTTCTTCGGAGCACAAAGGTTGGGTTTCTCCAAAGGTTGGGGTCCACAAAGCATGGATAGTTACCCTTGTGATGACGGAATGATGACATGGTTGCTCTGTAAATTGGCATGCGTTGACATGGTTGTTTTTGAAGTCCACCCAGCACCGTAGGTGCATCCCTTGATGCTGCATGAATCGCTGTATGATGTGCTCCTGGTGAAGCAGGATGCCACCTTGGACGAGATCAAACTGGCCTTCAAAAAGCGAGCTCTACAGGTTCATCCCGACAAAGGTGGCAGTAAGGAAGCCTTTCATGTGGTCTACCAAGCTCTTGAAACATTGGTTGACCCGGCAGCCCGACAAAAATATGACACTTCGCTCGCTCTGTCAAGAGGTTTGGCGCAGCACAGGAATGGTGAGACCAATGGCATGAAAAAGACTGCAAGGAAACGCTGGGCTGCCGCTGCAAATCAAAAACGCTCAAGCGCAGGCAAGGGTACCACATCCAGAAGGAGGGAAACTGACGCAAAATCAAGTCACTCACGGCAAAATCGCCTTCTGATGAAAGTTCGAGATCTCTTGGAGCAGTTGCCACGAGATTTGCGTAGTGAGGTGTTTACTAAGGACTTCTCCCAGAAACAGCGCCTGATTCTGGAGAAATGGATGGGCGACACATCCAAAGCACCAGCGCAGCTGGAAACCAAACCAGTAGCCCGGCTCAATAAGAAACGACTGATGCAGCCGGCTCGCACCGACTCTGCTGATTTGAATGAACGTCCGGTACCGAGTGCAGGTATCCCTGGTCTAGATGGGAAGATCTCCACTTCAGTAGCCCAGAAGAGGTCCAGCTACAAATCAAAGTCAGACAGGAGGCGAACCTGTTCCAGTTCCGGCAGTGTATACAAGGTGAACACGAACACTCACTACAAAGCCTGCATTCGTTTTGATGGTCTTGATATACATACCACGGGACAGTATGATTTGCAGACAGCTCTTGAGTACTTAGTGATTCTGACTTCGGTGAAGCAAAAGATGCTGGACTGTACCATGGACCAAAGCATCCCTTTCCACGAACGCTTGCAAGAAGCATTGATTATATCTGCTGCTGAACAGGGGCGGGAATATGCCGACCTAGAGCTTCGGTTTACCATTCTTCAGCCAGCTGGCTTTTTAGTGGCAAGGGGTTTTGTGGTCCGGTCCCCAAGTGTTCGCAGCCTGACAGACTTGGGAAAGCTTCGCAATTGCCTGCGTCCTTTTCAAAAGTATGCCTGGAGATATGGGGGGAGTAGCATTTTTTGGTGGTACAGCCCCCCGCAATTGCAAGATGCATGGGAGTCCTTTCAACAGGCAGTGGCTACTGCATGGGAGATAGGAGGCGTTGATAGCACAAAATACATCCACAGGATTCGTGCTCTTCGGGAGGCAAACATCTCTGCGCGTCAGCGACACTTGCAAATGTGGGAATGCCGACACATGGCCCTACAAGACAATGACCAGTATCGTCCCAAAACACTCCGAACACTTTTGCCCATTTGGGCTGGGGACATCTTAGCCACCAAGCTGTCAGCTTTGAAGAGGCTGCTTGGGGAATGGGGGCGAATGTTGAAAGCAGAGGCACAACTGCTAGACAAAGAGCGCCGCAAAGTGTTCCTGCAGCGGAAGAAGCACAGAGAAGAGCAACGACAGCTGGAAGTCTTCCAGCAGAAACGGCTTCGAGAGCAAGAACGCCTCAGGAGGGAAGCCCTGCGGAAGAGAATGAAGTCTGATAGGATGGATGACCTCAATTGGATTTGATGCTTACGGCGGTTACGGTTATCCAGATTGCAACAGATGACCACCATTTGTTTTGAGAACAGCCCTTGTCATTACTGGCCATGGATGTTTCTAGCGAAAGCAGGACACAACGGCCTCTTGACATGTTGCCTCATGATCTTGAAGATGAGCCCTGCCATTGTCAATATCTTTAAGAGAGATTCAGCAGAGTCATTTCCGGAAGGCGGTGTTGCGAAGACAGCCAGCTGCCTTGTGCAAAGCGGGAGCGAGGTCACAAAATGAGATTTTGGCAGACACAACTGGCAGTGGCCGGGTCACAAGATTCAGTTCCGTTCACGAAAAAAGTCCAAGCCTACATAGATGGGGTGAGCTTATTTCATGTGGCTTTGTCTGAAAATAGGATACCATGGCATCCCATGGCTCATCATTATTTTGCCATATTTCCCTATTAAGATGCCATCACATTATGTATATGTAAGATTATACTATATTATACTCACAGGCACACTTATGGCTAATTAACAGGACTTCCCCTTTGGAAAAACCGAAATGTCAATCTATCACACACACATATATATATAATATATATAATATATCTGGTTGGTGGTTTGGAAGATTTTTTAATTTTCCATATAGTGGGAATCATCATCCCAACTGACGAACTCATCATTTTTCAGAGGGGTAGGTCAACCACCAACCTAGAAGCTGCACCAACTGGATTCAACTCAACCAACCCAGTCCCGAACAGAAATCCACGTGTGGACCCTACCAAATAGATCCAAAATATCCTCTGGTAAACTAACATAGCTATGGAAAATTACCATTTATAATTTATAATAGTTAGATCAACTATAAATGAGCACATTTCCATAGCTATGTTAGTTTACCAGAGGGTAGAGGGTTGGAAGATGAATTTAGAATTTGTTTGTTTTCAGGGTCTATAAATTACCGGAGGGTAAATCGATTTGAACTGTAAATGTATTTTGGTTTTAAGGGAAAATCTGTAGGAAACCCTTAAATGCAGCATTGGTGGTTAAAGGAACATGGTTTCAAGTATGGTTTCAATCAAAGATTTTCCCAACAATATCAATCCGTTGATCAGTTCCCCCATTATAAGCCCATATATCCCCGATATAATCTCCGTATAAACTTTAAATCCATTGGGTAACCAGAACTTTCCCTACTTGGTGGCTCATCCCACTTAGTAAGTGGCTTATAACCCCAATTATAAGTGGATTAACCCTACTTATCCCATTTATAACTGGGGTTATAACCCACTTACTAAGTGGGATGAGCCACCAAGTAACCAGAACTTTCCCTATGAAAATTAAAGAAACAACTGCTTGCATCACCGTTCTCCAGGCTCGAAGGGATGTGGATCCCAACTTAGACCTCCGTCCGGTGCAAGAATTGCAGGAGCCGATGGCGCGGCGAAGAGTTTACGGGAGACGTCGATCTTCCCTATGAGTGGAGCCCCATTCCCAGAATCTTCCCATGTGATATATGGCAGTGTGTCAAAACCTGGTACCCCTGGTGACCATCAAAATAGCTGGTAAATGGATGTTCATCCCACTAAAAATGGTATTAATATGTATTGATCCATACCCATATATATATATATAGATGCAGTCAAAACCGGAACTGCAAGTTACACATGACATAGTTTTTCCCTTGTTGGGAACAATGAAGATGGGCATTATTTCACTATGGTAACATACGTGAGGGACCTCAAGTTTCCATATGACCCAATTAATCCCATATTTTTTGTGTGGGTGCGAGCCCCACTTAAAGACTTATCCCCACTTAGTAAATGGGTGACAAACCACCACAATATCCCCACTGGATAAAAAAAGGCATGGAATTTTATAGTGGTACCCTCAATGGGCTAGAAAGTTTCGAGATTTCTGTCCAAAAACAAGGAAATCAGCGGATTTCAGCGCTTTTTTATGGTCTAAAATTGAATACCCATACAAAGTGGGGCCCCCTAGATAGCTAAGTTGGTTTATAACTCCAATAACTATGGTTTATGGTACCTATAACTATAGTTAATGGGATTTATAAAAGTAATATAACTGGGGGGCCCCACATTGTAGGTTGTAGAAGGATATGTGCGAATTATGGGAACTAAAAGGCCATTTTTCTGGCATTTTTCATGGCAAGCAGCAAACCCGGATTAACAACTATTTTAGTAGCAGATGACATCACTATTTTAGATCTCCAGAAGAAATGTATTCCATTACTGAAAGCCTTTCCTTTTTAGAACCTATGGAGCTAGAGAAAAGAACTGATACGTTTGGGAATTTCACAGTCTTGTGATATGTTTCTCTCCATTTTCCCAAGTTTAACATAATATCTAACCCCGACTTTTGCTGATCGGCGCCGCACCCGCAAAAAACATCTAATATCTTTATTTCGTTGTCAAAATATTTCAAACACGTACTGCCTTCTCCACCATGTTTGTCTTTTCGGAATTGGTATTTGAGGGAGGAAAACCATTGAAAACCCCTCATATTTAGATAGTAAAATTAGCTGTTCCTGAAGATTTTGTCCTGAACAATTGCCATGCCCCCCAAAATTTTGGAGGGATCCAAAAACAACCAAAACCTGAACTATCCTGAACTGAAAGACTTCCCATCCCATCTGATCCCACATTTTTCTGGTTGGCGAACTCCATCATTTTTCAGAGGGGTAGGTATACCACCAACCAGATAATGTAGTAGGATATCTGGCTATAGTTTAAGGATATTAACCATTACTAACCATATAATTAACCATATATTAACCATATATTAACCATATATTAACCATATATTAACCATATATTAACCATGTATTAACCATATTAATTAACAGTATAATGGTAGCCCAGTGGGTTAATAATGTTAATAACCATATATTTCCAGTGGGAATTCACCATGAAACCACCAACCAGTTTTTCTTCACCTGCCTTCACTGCCCTGCACACGAGGATTCCGAGTCTGCGGTGACCTGTGTGTGCTTCGGCCAGGAAAGGCTCCATAGATCGTGACCCGCTCCAAAGTCGCTTTGCTGATGGGATTTTTATGGGAAAAACATGGAAAAACATTGTTTTTTTATGCGAAAAACATGGGATTTCTATGGAAAAACATGTGGTTTTTATGGGAAAAACATGGGTTGGCTGAGATGGAGAAGATGGAGATTTTTCCAAACTTCACCATGGTCTATAGTTTTCTGGAGGGACGCCCTGGAAGGGTAGAGTATGAGAAAATCAGAACATGATATCGGAAATTATAGAGATATCACGCAGGACAAATTTCAGTATATCGATTATATCGATTATATCGTATGTAGTCATGTATGGGGATATAATGGGGATATAATGGGGATGTATATAGTATGATGTAGGTGAATATTTTTAAACCAACAATGTATGTCATGACATAGGGATGTCATGGGATCAATGGATGATATGAACGACTGGTGGCTGTCCGGGGCTTCTCCCAGACAGCTCAACCGGGTCAGCAGCCACCCACCAAGCACTTGGCTTGAAATCAACCACAGCCAAGAGTCTTACAATGTTGGAAGAACATGAGTACAGTACCCTCTGGTCATTTGTTACGTTTTGCGGACTTGAACATGGCCCAGTCGAAATAGTTGATTTACCCAGCCATTTAGAAAATGGTGAATTTCCCGCAAAATGTCAACGTTTACCAGGCGGGGTAGGTCTCCCAGAATTTCTCCCAAAAATCGATTACCGCGGCCTGCAGGATGGTGCCCCCCAGTGATGTTTGTTGGTTTATAACCCCCATGAATATTATAGTTATATCTGCCATAAACCAGAGTGAAATGGGAGTTATGTTCACCAACTTAGCGATTCCGAACTGGGGCACCACCTTGTATTAAATCATTAATCCATATTTTTTCCCATGATCATCCCACTTTGTGCAGCTGTTTTTTTTTCAGATCCCGAAAAGTCCCCCGTTGACCTGTCGGAGCTGTCGATGGTGGAGCATTGCTGTGGACATCCACCTGGACCCAGTAATAATGGCTCCTTGGCATATCGTGCCTCGGCCGTGGAGAAAACGTGGATTTGTTGGAAGAAAAAGGTGGCGATTTCCCATGGTGAATCGGGTTTCACATATAGATTCACATATATATATATATTCATATAGATTCATATTGATTCATATAGATTCATATTGGTTCATATTGATCATGATTGTTAATATTGGGTAATGGTGATTAATGGTGATTAATGGTGATTAATGGTGATTAATGGTGATTAGTGGCAAATCCAAGCTGGATCAGGCTGGGTCAACCAACCATTGCCATGGTCAAATGGTATCAGGATACGTTTCTAGGATATTTCAATGAAAATTTCAGGATCCTAAAATGGAGGTACTGTACCATATAAGGCCATATTTTGGGGGAATATTCCCTTACATAGGCCTTGTATATGGTAGGTACCTCCAATTTAGGTTCCTGGAATGGCCATTGAATATTTTAATGGATATTCATGGGCCAACCATTGTTATGGTATATTAATGGAACATTTTATCACGGGTGATGAATTTATCCATGGGATAGTGATTGGATAGCACGAAAATCGAGGATGATAAAATCTAGGGATAATGCGAGTGTAAAATCAATGGCTTACTGGTGATATGAACGGGATATACTGGGTAGTTCAAAGCAACTTGATATTTTATTTTGGATGTGGGCATGTTCCAACCGTTCTAACCAACTAGAGATTCATTTTTGCAGGGTATTTGGGATTGACAACGGGGCATTTGCAGAAAATCGACAGCTAACGAGTTGGCGGATTTTATGTTTACTGTAGCAATTCTAATCATTTTGTCATGGAGGAAGATTTGATATATCCTCCAGTAATCAAACATGGCAAGCCGCGAAATCCACCATAGATAGGCATTGAAGTGTGTGAATTATCTTTAAATTTAGATTTAAAGGGTGACTTTTCCATTGCAATTTTTGATTAACAGAGGGTACTATGGGTACTGTACTGCTTGAATCCCTGTTTGCTTTGTTGCATGCAAATTTTAGAATGGTGTCTGTCCTCAATTCCATTTTGTGATATCCCAGATGGAAACGGACAATTTGCACGACACCCCCATATTCAATGGAAAAACGGCATGGAAAACCCTATACAGTAGGTTTTCCCTTCCCTCCCGGCAAGCTAACATAGCAATGGCAGACCACAATTTTCAAATTTTTCAATAGGTACCCTCTGGTTATTTTAACATAACATAGCCATGGAAAATCACCATTTTTAAGAACGGTAAACCATCTATTTCTATGGGCCATCGAAAAACCATGGCTATGTAACAAATAACCAGATGGTAATTCA